TAAATGTCCAAAAAAGTGTTTGCCTTTTTACTGCCAATGCACCTATTTTGGGGACTGAATCTGATACTTTTCAAGGGCTTTCCTGGTGTCTCAGTGGTAAAGAATCTGCCTGCAATGCAGGACCTGCAGGAGATCAGGGTTCAATACCTTAGTCGGGAAGATCCCCTGGAGGGGGGCATGGCACCCCACTCCAGTATTCTTGCCTGGAGCATTCCATGGACAAAGGAACCTGGTGGGTTACAGTCCATGGGGTCGCAAAGAGTTGGACATGACTAAAGTGACTTAGGACGCATGCACGCATGATACTTCTCAAAAAGAAGCAGGATGACATGGTGCCTGAGGCCTTGGGCTGGACCTGCCCCTAACTAGGTAGGGACTCTGGAGGAGGAGCTCTTCTCTCCCCTCCTTGGCTTCCTCCTGGTCTAATACAGGGATACTGCTCCCTGTGAGGGTGAGCTATAATGACCACACCAGAAAAATGTTTGCAGAGTACTTGCCACAGTGTCTGGGTGAGGTATGAAATAATAATAATAATAATTATCACAAGCATTTTAAGCACTCGCCCAGGAAACCTGAGCTGACCCAATTTCTGCCAATACCACTGTCAACTTCGAGGCTGCCTCAATGCACAATGTTCTTTAAATTGATAATTAATTTTACTCTGTAGAAATGGGTAAATGGGTGAAACTCATTCTCAACTTCTTATTGATTTAAATTGTCAGGAAAGCCTTTGGTCCACTTATTTCCCCTGCCAGGTTGTCTCAGAAAAGGAAAGGAAAAAGGATGTTGGTTTCATTGGTGGACAGATTCTTAAATCACTCACGGTGCTGGAGTCTGATGAGGGCCTGGTCATCTCGAGAGGTGGGGTCACAGTCAGGGGCTCTGACCACTGGAGCTGGCAGAGGCTCCCAGACGTGAAAGGCTTTCCTTGGTTTGGCCTCACTTATGTACCATAGTCCATCTGGTTGTAAAATGAAGCTTAAAAAAAGGAATTCAGCCTGAGTTCTTTGACCATAAAAGTTGACAGGTCTTACAAGGAAAGCCTTTGTTTTCTACATATATTTGTATATTTGTGGATAAGGCCATATTTCCATTGTTTCTTCTCAGTAGGCCAGTCACTGCACAACAAACCAGTTTTAAGTGGTAGCTAGCTGGTGGTCCTTTTCAGAGGCAGTGGGAAAACACAGCTACTATTTTCATGATAAAGTCATTGTCGTACATTATTTCCAATAGCTGCCTTTAGAACACATCTTTCATTTTAATTGTTTGGAGAGAACTTCCAAAGCCTCAGTGTTCTCATTTAACTTATTCCAGTCATGAAGATGGGGGTAAAGGCTGCACCTTTTCCATAAAGATGGGCATATAGGAACTCAGTTAATTGGAATTTTGAGGATGTCTTTTTCTCTTGGGTTCCACCTTGAAGGGTCAATGTAACAAGGTTTTCATGTGGGGAATTGAAATTGCAATTTAAAGCACATTTGTGAGAAGATATTTCATAATGTTAGGATATAGCCTAGCACATAATTGGGTAATTTAGATCTGGACACTAATTTACTCGAGGATTATTTTGTGAACGATGGCTTAAATATCTTGGCCAGGAATGAGAGCAAGTACATGTTTAATATAAAGGTTATGATGAAGATGTAATTTCTGGTTTCAGCTCTATCCTCTCCTCACCCTAGGCTGGTAACACACTTTCTCTAATCAAAAATGACAATACCATGTGCCTTATGCATCTCACAGAAATGCCAAGGAGGGTAAATGAGGTGACAAGGATGAAATAACTTGAGCTCTTTGGAAAGAAGGACTCTCTAAGCCTAAGTTTTAAACATTATATTCAGAAAATTATTTGCAAAGGACCATGAGCCTCTTTGAGCTCATATTCAAAGCATCCCTTCCAAAAAGTTTTTCCTGGAAATTTCTGGAGGTCAGGACTCCACGCTTTCACCGCTGATTGAATCCCTGGTCGGGGAACTAAGATCCTGCAAGCCACAGGTACAGCCAAAAAATTGGGGAGGGGGAAAGCTTTTCTTTTCTTAATTAACCTCACCCATTCCAGTTATTTCTTTATACTTATAGCGCCTTGGTGTTACATTTGCAGTGTATATTTCACTTTTCATCTATTGCATTATGATGTCATCTAGCCAGTTGCTCACCCTAGAAACCTGGGCAGCATCCTGGCTCCTCCCTCAGACCCCAGCTCCAGCTAGAGATGTGGTCTGATCAGTTCTTCGGATGCAGGCACTTCCATGGCACTGTCATAGCCTCAGCTCCTGTCCATTTTCACCTGGTTGTCTCTCTGCCATACACAGGCCTTTCTCACTCTGTCCTGAGTGCTTTCCAATTCATCCAGCTCACCTGTGCTTTTCAGAGATCATTTAAAAACATAGATAGAATCCTCTCTTGCTGTTCAGTCACTAAATCATGTCCAACTCTTTTGTGACCCCATGGATGATTTCCCAGGCAAGAATTACTGGAGTGGGTTACCATTTCCTTCTCCAGGGGATTTTCCTGACCCAGGGATTAAACCTGCATCTCCTACATTGCAGGATTCTTTACCACTGAGCCACCAGGGAAGCTTCTCTACGCCATGCTTAGAACTCTTCAAACTCCTTAGCTTAGCACACAAGACAGCTCTTTTTCTGGTCTCCAGTCACCCATGTGGCCTAAACTCTCACCATTCTATTCCACCCACCCTATGCTCAGTTGCCCCAGGGGCAGCGAGGTTTGAGTTGTGAGGTCTCATAGAAATTAGCCCAAAGAAGAGCTGCCTGTGTTTTCCTAGCTTCTGAACTTTTGTATATGCTGTCCCTTTTGCCTTCAATGTCTTCTCCCTAACCTAAGAGTTCTTGATAGTCTTGAAATTTTAGTTCAAGCATGACCTCTACCATGAAGACGTCAAGATCCTCCTTTGACTCGTTTCTGCACCCCTTTCAGTGCTCATCCACTGTGCTTTCACTGAATGATGTGCATGATATTGTAAAAATGCACCATTCTGTATTAAAAGCATTCATTGATCTTGTCTATTTCTTTCCATAGACTGTGGGTTTCTTGCAAGGAAGTGCTATACTTTTAAACTTTGCATTCTGAGCATCTAGCAGAAAGCCAGGCACACAGTAGGTCCTTGATAAATTTCTGCTGAGTGGATGGGTGAAATTATTATTCTGCATGGGTGACCAAGGATCAGCAAATAATCAAAAGCTCCAGTGACTTGAGGCCTTGTGGATAAGCAATGACTCAAGAAGTCTATATACTACCATGGTCAAAACCAGACTACTGTATTTGGTCTCCAATGTTATTTATAGCTTCTGATTTTTACTGTATGTGTATTAAGTCATTTCTTTGTGAATTGAAAATAATTTTCTTGGCTGAAACTACTCTTGACAAGTCTTTTTCAAGAAAATTCTTGCTCCTTCTTTTACCTCCTACAAGCCATAAAAATGTTTAAACACAGAATACTCATAAATTAAGTTCCATAGAACTGTAGATGCCAAAGAAGGCAAATTACAATGTGCAACTTATTTATCACCAGATGGACCTGGGGTATCCCCAGGCACAGACTCTCAGGATTGGAAGGGCCCTTGGTTATTGTTGGAGAGGAGCTTACTCTCCTATGCCTCTTTCTATAGCTGCTTCTATCCACAGGAATGAATAGACAGTGATCCGATCAGAGAGGAAGAAGAAAAGCGTTCCTACACCAGACACCTGGAGTCAGAGCAGCTTTCACTGATCCAAGTTCTGTGGCCCAAACAAGGAGCCTGAGATTTCCATTCAGCGAGAGCATCAATATACCTGCAGTGGTGCAGGTAAAACACTCTGTGAGGTGTCTAGAAAGAGCATCTTTTGAAGCCCCAGGTGAAACTAACCCCTTGCAACAATTTCCTATCATTTCCAAGGTTCCAGGAATGGCCTAGGGTAAGCAAGGTTTAATTAGTGAGGGCCAGTGGGCCAGCTGAGCCCCACCAGCTCTCCCAAAGCAACGGGCTCAGGTAGTGAGGAGTTGTGTTTACAAGGTCTCTCTGTGGCATCAAAGGAAAGGTACCAATAGTGCAGTAGTTAAGAGCTTGGTTCTGGGGTCAGAGAGACTTGCGTTCAGATCCTTCTTCTGCTACTTGCTAGCTGTGTAACCCTTGGACAAATTATTTAGCTTTTCAGAGCCTTAGTCTCCTTATGTGTAAAAGGAGGAGGAATAGCGCTACACCTGAGTCCTGCATGCCTGGAACACAATGAGTGGTCCCTAGTAGTAGATGTGATCACTATTACTAGCTATTCATAGTAATCCAAAGTAACACAAACCTATTATGACTCCAATTCACATGCCATCTAGCCCACACCATTTGCCCAGATTCTAAAAATAACATCTAGCAGCACTCCAACTGGATGAGAATTGGTCAAAAGTCCTGCCACCCCATTTAGAGCTGATAATTTGGGTTTCCATTTTGCCTACAGTTCCATTCTCAGTATTGTTCTACTCCAATATTATAAAATGTGATTTTCCTTAAAAAACAAAGAAACTGGCAGGACTTTCCTGGCAGTCCAGTGGTGAAGACTCCATGATTGAAAGGCAGTGACCCCGGGTTTGACCCTGGTCAGGGAGCTAAGACCTCACATGTCATGAGGCATGGCCAAAAAATTAAACAACAACAAAGACCCAAAGAAAATGGAATCAGGAAGCTGTGATACCAGGAAGCATAAACGATTACTCTGTGTCTGTGCCCCCAACCTTAACCCCCTCCCCTCATCCTCCATGGTTTGCAGTGAGTTTTCTTGAGGGTTTGGGTGGCCTCACACAGGACTCTTCGGCTAGATGAGAAAGATTCCTAGATTGGCTTACAGAGGCAGTTGGCAGCCTTTCAACTAAATTCTATTTTATAAAGTCTATAAATTTACTCAGAATCATGTTACCAGCTGGTAGGGGGTATATAAAACCACTGAGTTACAGGACAGAAAAAGAGTAAATTAGACTGAAATTTATCCAAAAGACTTAAGATGTGATTTACCTGTAGGCCAGTCCCTGGTTTCAAGTGAAAACCAAAAACAAGTTCAAGATTCACTATTTTTTCCTCATTTTCTTCTGGTTCACCTGCTGAGCCCTGAAACAGAAAACCAAGCACTGTTTATTTCATATATGTTTTTACCTTTACTTCTCATGTAAAGGAGATGATTTCCCAGCACTTCTTTTCCCATTCTAATCTACTATTTAACTTCTTATTTTTTTTTATTATGCCACACATTCCAATTGCTTAAAGCAAGAGAAATGACATATTAAGCCTTTGAAAACTTTATCAAATGATTTGTCTCATGCACTACAAACTGAATGCCACCATCTTACATTTTTCACAATGCATCTTGTGTTGTGCAGTTTTTCCCTAGAAATGTATCTTTGTCCCTTCACCTTGAAAGTTTCACAACACTGGAGATATTTACACCCTATTCCCAAAGAAGAATGCAGTTCCTAGAGTATCTGCAGATGGAGGGCCAAGCAGAGGAACAAAATGAACATTTGAGGGCTCAGAGATGGAAAACTAGAATGGTTAGTGAATGAGAAGAGTTCTGTGTACTTCCTGCAAGTATCTACTAGTTTTATAACAATCTATGCCAATACCTTTATACTATATTTAAATATGGGGCTTCCCAGGTGATGCTAGTGGTAAAGAACCTGCGTACTAACGCAGGAGACATAAGAGACGCAGGTTCGATCCCTGGGTTGGGAAGATCCCCTGGAGGAGGGCACGGCAATCCACTCCAGTATTCTTGTCTGGAGAATCCCAAGGACAGAGGAGCCTGGTGGGCTACAGTCCATGGGGTCGCAAAGAGTCAGACACAACTGAAGTGACTTAGCATGCATGCATGTTAAATATATTATTTAACATATGTTATTCAATGTTATTTGTTATTCAAACAGTAAGACTCCTACCCTTCAATGCAAGAAGTCATCCAGAGCTTAGTGTGTGAATTCCTTTAGCAGCTTCCATGTTGGACAAAGTTCTGCAGAGCCAGGTGGCAGGCCAGAACTCCTCACCTGCAATGTTAGCCCTTATGTCCCCAGGCTACTAAGGTGACATGTGTTGTTCTTATCATGACTGTGATGTTAATATTTCAACTTGCAAGGAACAAGGGTATTCAATATATGCACATCCTAAGGTTTGCTCAAAGGGCCTTTTGTTGGACAGATATGATTGAATTTCACTTCAAACAACAGTTCCCGACATTGGCAAATTTAGGTGTGGATGTGGCAGGTGCATATGTCAATAAAAGTTGGATATTCTCAGTAAGAAAAAACCTTACTTACCTTAATCAGTGGTGGGAAGTGAAACAAATTTAGGTAATCGTGGGTTAATTTCTCAATGGCTGACTGTAAAAAAAAAAAAATATTAATGACCTGATAATGCCAACAAAGGATCAAAATTATTGTGCACATATAAAGGCATTCTTTATTTATGTATTCCACAAAATGCCTTGGCGATGTTAATATCCAACATCTATTGAGAATAAACCTGATTGTTCAAAGTATTATAGGTAGTTTTATAATTATTGAATGGAACAGGAAGATATTTTAAAGATGTTAAATCTCAGAGTAAAAAAAAAAAGTAAAAGCCTTCTTCAAACTGTGGTAGAGTACAGTAGTAACAAGTTAATATTCTAGGGTACAGAATGCACTCATCACCTCAAGTAACTGTGGGAAAAACAACAAAGAACACGAATATATCACCAGAGGCTCCCATTAGGGCTGAAACCTCAATGAAGGGTTTACTGCACTGTGTGGGCTTTCCCATGGATTTGTGTCCAAAGCTCTGTCCCCCAGTGGAGCACAAAGAACTCTTAAAGGAAAGGAGGACAGTTTAAATTATGATTCTTTTTCATGCTCATCAGGTATAATCCAGCTTTTCTGCGAACCAAATATATCACATAGAGAGTAAAAAAGTACCAATATGAGAAAAATGAGATGCATTTTTTTAAAGTGAAATGAAAGCCATTGACACCTGACAATGTAATCAGCACTTATTGGATATTTGGCTTTATTCTTTCTACATGGGCTTCCAGGCTCAATAAGGCGGGAGCCAAGACAGGCTGAACAGGACAGTCAAATAGCAAAAGGGTAGGTGGGCAGACTGTCCACTTTCCAAGTTTATGATCTACCATCTGTGGGCTGAGAGGCTCACTCACCTAGAAGTTTTACAAAAATGCCCCCCTGCCTCAGTGGGAAAGCAGAGCATGGAGGGCACTTTCTCACCCTCAGGATTGGAGGGGTGGGGTGGGGTGGTGAGGGGTGTGTGTGTGTGTGTGTGTGTGTAGACCACTCTGACAAGGAACAGGTGGGCTCCTCCAGGCTGGAGGTCCCTTTGTGGTGTCCCATTCCGAATGGCCCAGCTTGAAGGATCCTTTCTTTATCTTCATTGCCTTAAGAGTATATGCAATATATCCCTTTCTGCATTGGCTTGGCCAAAAATGTTCATTCCGTTTTAAGTAAAACTAAAAGACATATTTCGTTTTCACCAAGACTTTATTGAACAATGTATTCACTAACCAAATGAACTTTTTGGCCAAGCCAATATATGTGGAATCTAAAATATGACACCAATGAACCTATCATGGACATAGGGAACAGAAAGGTGGTTGCCAAGGGGGTGGAGGTTGGGTGGGAGGTTGGAGTTAGCAGATATAAGTTATTGTGCATAGAATGGATAACAGAAAGGTCTGACTGTATAGCACAGAGAACTATATTCAATATCCTATGATAAACCGTAATGGAAAAGAATCTTTCCTTTTTTTTTTTTAAAGAATATATGCAGGATGCTCCCAGACCTCCCATGGAAAGGTCTGTTTCCATGATCCTTTCCCCTTATTCTTTCCCTCTCATATAAGTTTATTTGTCAGAAGTGCCTGGGACCCTAGCTGAGATTAAGAGAGTGTTACCTGTGGGCTGAGCACCCCCAACCCTTCCCCACCCCTGGGACAGCCACTGTTAACATGCCCCTGGCTTTGGCAGAGGTGGAGGATCTGCAAAGCTGACTTTTGAGACCCCCACCTCTGGGGACTCACTGTCTTTCTGTGCACAAGCAGACTCTTCCAGGAGCTTGAGGGGTGTCTCCAGTCCCCGCAGATGCTGGTCACACCCTTCCTTTGAAACTCAGGACAGGCACTCTACTCCCAACTGCCAAGATGCCGAATTAAGAGAAGCTGTATGTACGTTTTATCTCTTTTCTGGGATGTAAATTCCTTAAGGGCAGGATTCTTTGTTTATTCACAGGCCCAGGACTCTGATTAGCAGGTATCCACTGTATTTGTTGAACAATAATTAGTAAGTCTGGAATTGCTTGCTTTAATGATACCAACCATCATGGAGAGAAACTTAAGACTGTCCTAGGCTGGGTCTGGGAATATTGAAATCACTGTGACTGCGAGAGAGGCGAAGGGGAGTTGGGGGCTTCTTTTTGGTATCTGCTAAATAGGACACGATTTACCAGATCTTTCTTTGAATTCTGAAACTCCTCTTTCTGTACCAGAGAAAAGAATATTTCCTACTGTGGGCCATCTAAGCCAGCATTGCTTTTTAGGATGGATTTGCCCACAGTCATAGGTTGAGATTAAATTATTTGCCAGCATTTGAGGTGTATGTGTGTGCATGAGTTTTCCTGTCCATCTTCTGAGAGGGAGCAGATGATAGGTTAAGGCTAAGCCATCATCCAAAGGGTGTTGAGGGGCTGTAAGGATGTCTTTATATGGATCCAGGGCCCACAGGATAGGAGTGGATGTGTTCTCTTTGGACCTCAGGGAAGATTTCCCTGGAAAGCCTGGTATCAGTAGCCCCAGCTGAGGAAAAGGGAACGGTTGTTGGCATGTTGGTAGAGCCTTTGTCATGATGTGGATTTGAATAAGAAGTTGCTTTTTCTACATTTCCTTCTTTATTCTATCTCTCTTCTTTCTAACTCATGCCTACCCCTCCATCCACTGACACTGGGGTTGAGGTGGTTTAGAGAGCAAATTTGATTTTCTCATAAGATTGCTCTTGAAACACACCTCTGATTAATAACAAGGTGCACACAGATGCAAGCAAGTGTGGTTTGGTTTGAGTAACTAAAAAGCAAAACATAACAAAGAAACAAAAAACCAGATCTGGTTGTTAAACTACAAAAAAAAAAAAAAAGCAACAATAAAAACAGAGGTTTAGCCTTGAAAGGGTTCAAGACTGAAGTTTTGGGGGGAAATGTTAGGATTTCCCGAGAAGATGAGGGATAAGAATATATATATACAGTGGTGTCTGTTTGGGTCAAAACTTGGAAGATTGCAGACCGAACACACAATTCCTATGGCTTTAGATGCTGTGGTGGTTCAAGCTTCAATCAGTCTACAGACGTGCTCTGGCATTGTTGGGGTCCCTAATGGATATCCAGTCTGGCCTCAAAGGAAGTCACCTCCTACTATTGCCTGGGGGCTGGCAGCTCTGCCTGCACACATGGCCTTAGCATACAGAATGCTTCCTCCCACTCTGAGGCCTCGCCACAGGTGGTGCCTTGTTCCCAGAACACCTCCTCCCCGTTTCCTTCACCTGCTCAACACCTCCTGGTTCTTCAGCTCTCAATTCCTTTCTAACCCCTTCACAGAAGCAATTCCTCCACCCAACCTCACCTCTCCTTTGTGGCTTTTCTTAAAGCTGTCATGTTAATCATTTTTGCATGATCAATACCTGTCTTCTCCACTACACCAGAGACATCCTGAGGACACGGGGTGCTATGCAGGTGTATCCAGGTGACTTCTGCTGGACCCAAAGTCCAACTCCTTTGTTTGGGGATTATGTGGAGGAAGTAGGCATCCCATGGGGGCAGCAGCTAATGTGCAACTGGTATGAAGTATGGCGCTATGACCATCAGCTCAGCCTCTAACATGACACATGACCCACTCCATAGTAAGCGCTCAATAGACATCTGCTGATGGAATGGTCTCCCTTTCTGAGGTACCTTTAAATGGATGATGTGCCCCTTGGAGATGATGCCCATGTCTTTCAAGTCTTCTTCCTCGAGAAGAAGCAGTCGCTTTCCAGTAATGTTGTTTTCCTTAAACAAGCTTGCATACACACTCATCTCTGCTGAAGAGTCGCCTGAAGGGAAGGATTAGAAGGCAGAATAAAATTAGACTCAGTCACATCCCAAGCAAAGTTAACTCCATGAATTAAGAAGGTAAGTTGTTCCACTTGCCTTTTCTGACGAGCTGCTGAACCCAAAAATACTGTGGAAGAGAGGACACACATGATTTTGAAGATTCATTCATTGTCAGTGGCCAGACTTAACAGTAAGACACATAGTTGTTCAATGGGTAAAATATGTTTAATTCTTGCTCAACCACAAAGGGAAAACTGAAGATTTTCTCTTCATTGTTTTAAAGCTTCAAGTTTTCAAACTGGAGATATCCCTCCCTTTGGGGATCTTGGGCCCTTGGAGGACTACTGGTTTTACTTCTTATTTGAAACACATTTAAAAATCCTTTTGAGAAGATTCTTACTTATAATGCCTTTTCCATTCATGTGCCAGTGGTCCGCTGGGGTGTTCAAGGGCACTGGTTTACCCAGGAATTATAGAAAAACAGGGACCACATGGCAGTGGGCAGAAAAATGGATAATATGCATCCTCTGTTCTAGGCCTGGTCGCAAAGTAGCTCTGTGGCCCAAGACAAGTTAAAACATGGACCTTTCTACACAGGATGAGGTTGGGCCCAGCGACCTCAATCCTTGACTCACTTGGCACGTGTTTACCGTAGCCCCTCACACTACCCAGGCAAAGGGAGACAGAATGGTGGGGCCAGACCCAGTTCTCTAGGGAGCCCTTGACCCTGGAATTTTATTTAAATGGTTTGAAAACCACTCAGCCTCAGAGCAAAGACTAAAAATAGCTGTTGGAGTTCAGTGCCTTTGAAAACATTTCTTCTCAAATGAAACAGGCCAACTTTGCAGCAGGGGATGAAGGCATTATATCCAGGTCTGTGAACAGAGGAGATCCTAAGTCCTCTCTCCTTGTTAAGCAGGGCTGGCAGGAAATTTAGAATCCCTGGGGGCTCAGGGAATGGGACGTAGAGGCAGCGGGTGCCAGCGTCCTCCCCCCATGGAAGCCACAGAGATGAGCTCATCTGAAAGCAGCATCACTTCAGCAGAAGACCAAGGGCAGGAAGGGATGTGCCCCGGTCCAAAAACCAGACCAAGTCTAGGAAACCTTCCAGAGACCTTCCCAAGAGTTTCTGGTAACAAGTTGGATCTTGGGGTACCAAGTCTGTTTCCTGGGGTGTGGGCCTGCTAAGGTGGCATACAAGCTTTTCCCCCACTTTTCATTTAACAAAACCCTGAACTTATAAGTTGGACTCGGACAGACATAAACCCCTGAGGTCTCTGATCAAGAATTCTTAGCCCTGTTTTTCACCAAGGAAATAAGCTGCAGAGCTACAACAGGCTAAGGAGGATTGTTCTTCAGGGTGTCTACCCAGAGTGTAGGGTGCGGGATTTCCTTGGATTTAAGCAGTCTCTTCACATCCTCCACCAAACACTGGGCTTGTCTGGCTCCAGCTGTAGAGAAATGTCTGGGAACTCAGGTCTGTTCCTTCTTGGGAAGGTCAGAGTAAAGATGGCAAAATGAATAGGGCTAAGGCACTGCCTTTACCAAATTTTTCCCCACCGTGGTTCAAGTCCAACCCTGATCTTCTGGGAAAATAAGATCACTTTTTTTCCTGGTATGTTCATTTGGTATCCTGGGAAGCCCCTTTAACTGGGATTCATTGCTGCATTCTGGAATATCTTTCAGAGCAAATAGGGAGGTGGAATCCTCTTGTAAGATTTGATGAGATACTTGCTTTGCTTAAGGCCTTACTTTAAATCATTACTGCCTTAAAAATAGAAAAACATGGAATTTGTCAACTTCTCCTACTTAGACTTTCCTAAGGCCCAGACTCATCTACCTGCATTTTTAACTTGTGGACCTAGTTATAAACTCCCTGCCCAGGTTGAAGGAGGCATTAACAGAAGCAGCTTACCACATCATCTTCTGTCCAAGCACCAATCTCAAAGGAAGGCAGCAGCTGCATGGGAAATATGAATGAAATGGGAAAAAAAAAGAGGAATATTATCATTGTCTTTTTGGCTTATCCCCTCTTTTCAATATTTTAGCTCTGGGCCGATGTTCTGGCTTGGTTCTTTCTGCAGCTTATGTTGAATGGAAACCAATTTTCCCGCCTGTTAAGAGGAATTTCTCAGGTTTCTAAGGATGGTGCCCACAGAAGCCAATCAAGTGTATCAACCTCTCAGTAACAAGTCACTGCACCTGGTGAACTGTTACAGTGGGATTGCACATTGTGGGATTTTCCTCTCTTGGTAGTTGGCACATTGAGAGTAGTTTTACCTCCCACAAGAAGGCCTTGGAAGTCGAGAAATTTCTGACATTTGTCAGACACCAGAGCCTTCTTCGGGATTCTCAGTCAACATGGAGATCATTTGATTTTATTAATGAAAATTCCAAAGCAACCACTTGGTAACTAGATATTGTAGATGCTTATTTTTAGAGGGGAATTTCCAAGTTTTAACTAAATGTCTTACTTGCACTATATTTTTAAAACCAAATATTAGAAGGACATGTGAAATCGGAGCTGCCCGAAGGAACTCAGGTGGCGGAGTTGCTCTAACTAAAATTAAAGTAACTACCCTCCCTGGCAAGTGTACAAACACAAAAGACAACTTTTCAGGAGGACTCCCACCTGGCCATTTTCAGAGTCAAAGGGCTACTTGTTTCAATATATGTTCCATGGCCACAGATTAAGTAATAAATATTGAGGTGGCCAAAAAGCTTGTTTGGGTTTTTCCATAACTTCTTACGAACATTTTGACTAACCCAATACCTACATAATCGGGGGGGAGAAAATCTGTGTCTCGGGACCTGAATTAATTTCCTTTAGCCATTATCATCCCTGGTGGCTCAGTGGTAAAGAATCCACCTGCCAGTGGAGGAGATGTGGATTAAATCTCTGGGTTGGGAAGATCCCCTGGAGAAGGAAATGGCAACCCACTCCAGTATTCTCGCCTGGTAAATCCCATGGACAGAGAAGCCTGGCAGGCCATAGTCCATGGGGTCACAGAAGAGTTGGACACAACTTAGCAACTGAACAACAACAGCCATTACTTATAACTAACTCTAACTTGCCAGAATGGTTGGACTGCTCATGAGATAATGTGGCAAAGTGTCTTTCAACTCCTGTGACAAATAATATATTTTCTGTGTGTGGTTGAGTTGAAAAAAAAAGTTGGATTTGGTTACTTTTATGATTATGTAAAAATCAGAGGGTGGGTGACTAACGCTTCTAATCTGCAGGTATTTTTAATTCACATGCTGAAAACCTTGCTAGGGAAGTCATACCCCTACTTTCAGGGAGCTTTTAATTTAAGGGGGTGAAGCAGGCATGGTTTTTACTTTTGGAGGAATCCACCTTCATCTTAGTTTCCTCAATGCCCAGCAGAATGCCTGGCACATAATACCTGGTAAATCTTTGTTGAACAATTTGTTGAATGAGTAAAATTGGAGGCTGCATTTACTACAAAGCTAAATTCTCTGGTGTAGACTTCAGCGTCTATGGCTATACCACGGAAAAAGGATGTTTCATAGACTAACATGGGGATGGAAGGGACAGTGGCTTGAGCTGGCACAGCAAGGTAAGGAGAAGAGAGGTGACTCCTGGATAGGAGAAGCAACAAGGCAGGAAACTGACAGTGGGGATGGAAGAAGAAGGAAGGATAGGCATGTCACATTTGCTGACGGGAGCTCCAGGTACAGTGTATGCATGTCTCAAGATAAAGGGGAAATGTAGCCAACTCTAGGGTGCTACACAGAATTATTTTAAAAGCCCCTAGTTACAGTGAGTCTGAATGCATAGAGTTAGAGATGGAGAGATAAGTTGCAAGGGTACAAGTCGCTACCACTGCATGTATATTCCACTACCCCACATGCTCCAGTTCCTACAGGGCTGCTCCGTCCTCCTCTGAAATACTTCGTGTTTGTAGTCACAGGCGCTCATCTGCTTGAATAATGCAGGAAGGAGAGTGACTTGAGAAATAGGATCGAAAACAGAACTTGATCAAAGAAGACACATGACAAGTTTTATTTCTTCACGGGGCAGTTGTATATAGCTGTAGAAACATGTCATTCCCCTTTCCCATCACGGGATCAAATGCAAAACAAGGAAATTATTTGATTAGTTCAAGAAACAACAGACTGCATCTCAGAGATGCTCCCTGCGTCAAGGCTGGCCTTACAGGGACTGGGTGTGTATGCGATGTTTTGATTTTTTATACAATCCCCAAATGTTGCACTCAACAAAACTGGTAAATATTTCTTGAGTAAAGGTTGTAAGTGAAACAACTAATCAAAACCAACATCTCTGGTTTTCATGTCAGAAGGAGAGGGGAAGACTTCTCTTGAGCTCTGAGAAAGGCTTATCAAGATGACGCCAAGGGAAGGCACTGAATGCAGGGTGAGCCCTCACTCTGGTAGGATTCTTGCACGCTGCTTGCAAAGATCAGTGAGAGGAAGGCTGTGGAGCCAGGCACAGCTTCAAGATGGTTTGAGTTTGGCAGGACAAGGAAGAAGAGTTAATAATCTCCAGCCACAGAGTGGCTTTCCCTTTCCTTTATGTCTGCTGTACCTTGTTAACATATCAGTGTTTCTGCTGTAGGGTGAGTTCTAAGTCTTTCTGTCTGTCTTTGGGGATTGGAAAAAAACAAAAAACAAAAAACCATTTACCTCATGACTGCCCCATCACTTTACAGTTTCATTATTTACACTCTAATTGATTTCAGGAGAGAAGAGCTCACACTCATGGGCATGTGTGTGACAATGATTCCTTCAAAGTATGTTGGGAATCCAATCTAACAAATCTCTGATATACACAGCCACACATAACAAAGGGATTTACTGTCAAAACGTTTATTGCAAAATGGAGTCTTGAAACAAAGGAAAGCAAAGAAAAGTTCACATCAAAATGAAATGTATGACACCAACTTGGATTTCTGAATACATAGTGGGCTTTCTGTTGGAATATCAAATTCCAACAATGAACTCAATAACTGAGTAGTCTTACCACACAAGAGTAAAATTTAATCTTCCATACAAACATGATACAAGATTTTGGCGTACGACTTGCTCAGAATAACATTGCGATAGAATATTTGAGAAAAACCTTTTGTTTAAAAAAAAAAACAATAAAGTGATAATACCATCTATTCAAAGCTCACACTCAAAGAATATAAATATTTTCTATCATTTAGTACAAAAATTTTAAAACAGTGCAAAAGCAATATGTGCAGTGTATTGTATCTGACATTAAAAGATCTATTATTCTGCACACCATATAAGACAGTCAATGTAGGTGCCTGAAATTCTAATTCTGAAGTAAATAATCACATGCCAGAAAGCTCCTCACAGGCAGTGAACAGAGCGCCAACTAAGCTGGAGTCCGAGGAAACATAGCTAGTTGCCCAGATGTCCTGATAGCTCATCAGAGAGGCTGCGGTTAGAGCTATCAGGCTTTGCTACAATCAAAAGAACAGAACAGATTCTTCTCTCTGGCAATGCTTAAAATCTAAACAGGAAAACAGTCTTATCCCAAAGCAGCAAAAGGTACCTGATTATAGAAAAAGTATGCTCTATTATGTATACGGAATAGTAGATTCTGCTAGTCTCAAGAGGCAGAGTGTCAAAGTCTAGTATATCCAAAAAAAAAAAAAAGAAAAGAAAAAAGGATCAAGGTTTAACTCAAGATAAGTTTTAAAATGATCTTTCATGAAATTCTTACCATTCCAATGAAACCTCTGGAAAACAAAGTTGTGTACATCATAGTGCCATGAGAAATCATTTTAGATCTCTCCCAAACCTTCCTCCCACCCCCAATTCCTTGATTTTCATGGGGATCAAGTTTGAATTCCCCAGCTGGTGTTAAAGTCTAACAAATCTACTGCGTATTAAAAATCACTGGCTATAAAATGGCCCTCAACATTTCCAGAGCATCAAAAATGAGTGTCTTCAACCTCTTCCCATTGGTTATTTATGTAAAATATTAAAATTTGATTTCTCTTAAAAAAAAGGAAGACGACGACTGTTAAAGAAATATGTCCTTTGTTAACCTGACTACTTTGCAGAACTGTAGCTACCTCAGTGATATTTTCCTTTTTTATTTACTGTGAAAACAGTGTAACAGGAGACTGACACCTTGCCCCTCTCTCTTAGTAAATTTAGGTGTTTCATAAACTTTCTACCAGCATTCTTAAGGGGAAAGAAACAATTCCCACAAGTAAGGATTTAAGATAAATGACATGAATTGACAAAATTCAGATTGCATAAGTAGTTGTAATTCTGAAAATGCATCTTTTGACTTGGATAATTACGTTTATGGGGAAAAAAATGAGATGTGGAACTCTACAACCGCCAGGTTTAGCTAAGTTTCTCGGTGAAGGAAAGGACAATACCATGCGCTTTTTGTATTTAATTGTTTTATTGGGTGGGACTGGCACATAGGATTTGGGGCATTGGGCACTAAATATACTCCCAGACAACCAAAAATATGCCCCAGCATCACCAAACACCATTTGGCGACAGTGCTATCATGGTTGAGAACCACTGAGAGGGTGTCATCAAATTCTACATGATCAGCTTTATGAGTAAAGAAAAAAAGATAAAACAGTAGTTATATTTTCAGTTGTATGGCTCTTATAATTATTACCACAATTTGGAGTTTCAACTCTAATTGTGAATCTTCATATTTCTCTTTTTTTTTCCAGTTGATTTTTATTGGAGTACAGTTGATTTACAATGTGTTAGTCTCTGCTGTACAGTAAAGTGAATCAGTTATACATGTAGCCATTCTTTTTCTAGAGTCTTTCCTTGTATATAGGTCATTATAGACTGTTGAGCAGAGTTCCCTGTGCTATACAGTAGGTTTTTATTAGTTACCTATTTTATATTCTGTTTCTTTAATTCAGATTCTCTTTATAAATGTACATTTTTGTAAGTCAAGTACTTGGAAATAATTCTAACACC